TAATAAAGGAGTATCATAAAAAGAAGGCCGATGAATGCTACAGAATACATTTCATGCCAAAACAACAGAGGGCCGGTACCCAAAGCAATTGGATAAGAGAGGTATGATAGCACCAGGGGTTCTCCACAAATTGAAATTCCTTAAGCATGCTCACAAGAAATTCAAGAAGGAATTCAGAGAAGGAATATTAGTTTAAGCAAATAGGAAATTACTGCAGCAACTGCTCTAGTTTAAGAACCGTGCATGGAAGTTGTATAATAACAAATAAAAAAGTTAAAATCCTTTTGCACTTATTTTTTCTTCCTGTCCCACCATGTGGGTTATTTGCCTCCTTTCCATTTATCCTTTAATATTCAGATTTGCTATAACCTTGATTTTCATACACTATGTAAGAAGTACTCTCAAATGTGCTATGTGAACATACCATTGTTGGGGCTTTCAATTTAGTATGTTGTGTGAGTCCAACCAATTCCAGTTTATATAGTGAAATATGATTGAACGAGCCATGGCTAAGGTTCATGCATGAATCCAGTTTATGAGACAGAATAATTGCAAATTAATTCCTCCATGGTTGGCTGAAAGAAACTAAGGACTGGAAAAGGATTAACTTAATAGCTCCGGGAAGTAGAATTTCCTAGGAAGAGTATAATCATTGCAACATTTTCTAACGAAAACCAGCTGATAACCCACAGATTGAGGTATCTGGAAAGAAATGGAAATGTGGAAATTCTATTCATGTTCCCAATATCATTGCATATGAATTGACCAGGAATATTATGTAGTTGTTTAAAGACTGGAGGGTGGTAGAAGGAAACCACTGAAATAAATCCAATGTGGGTCATATTCACATATTACCCTGATTAACTTAACCTTATTTACTCAATTAACCCAAAAGCACTCACATGATGTACCATAACTGACTGAATTGGTACATCATATCAGGCTAAAATGAGGTTGGCCAGTTGTGGATCAGTGTGTGACATAAAAATATTTGTTTTGGAAAACATCTGAAAGACTGTGCAGTTGAAAAGATTAAGGGCAAAATTTTTCTACATCAACATATTTTATGTAGCGGTTAGGCACTATAAATCTACATGTTGCAGAAAAGCAATTATTCTCTGGCAGGTTTTCTTTAACAATTTGTCTTCCAGCTTTCTTAACAAATCTTGTTTAATTAAAATGGGACAGAATGAGCCCAGATCTCCAAGTTAACACTCTTGTCTTGAAGGGCCACGAGAACCAACTCCCAATCAAGTTCATACCTTGGCCAATATCTTGCTAAGAATAACTGTCCAATCTTGGCGTTCTTTATAAAGATGAAAATTCTGCTGTTAGCAGGACTAGTATGAAATCCACATGATTTTATTGGTGCCATTCTAGGATAAAATTTGACTACAAGATTATTTAACTAGAGCCAAAACCTTCTGCAGCATGAAGTCAATAAGGATTAGGACAGTGTTTATGAAGACAAAATCCCTGCAAAAAAAATGGGTAATTTGAAAGTGGAAACATACCTTTGCAGGATTATGTGATGTTAACTTATGGAACTCTCTCAACAAAAAGTTGCTATACAGTAGTACAAGAATCAGGGCTATTTAGCAAACAATGAATTAAAAACCTTGAGAAGAGATGTACTAAGGATTACTATCACTACCCAAGTTACAGTATCTATTAGAGATGTGTTACATCATATAAGAAAAGGTTCAACAAGTTTTTATTTTGAATGCTAATTTTTCTGGGGAAGGAGATTAATTGCTACTGGAAGCAGAAGCAGCAGAGCAAAATGATCCTACTAAACAGGGATGTCAAACTCAAGATCCCCCGCAACAAATCCAGCCCATGGGGTGCGTAGATCTGGCCTATGGGGCCGCTCTGGAAACAATAAAGGATTGGCCTGTGGTACCTCTGCCAGTGAAAATGGAGGGGGGGCATTTTCGCTAGCAGAGGGCTGTAGAAGGCAGTCACAGGCAAAAACAGACATCTTGCTGCCACCCACCCACCCTGGCCACCCCAGCCCGCTGAGGTCAAATACAACCCTGGTGCGGCCCTCAGTGAAATTAAGTTTGACACCCCTGTACTAAACCAAGTGGCATAGCCATTTTATGTTATTAGCATATATAAAGGTTAAAGGGGATGGAGAAGTGAACCTGCAGTTCTTCACTTATTGCTGAGCTACAATGCCTAGCAATCTGAGCAATTATATATAGCAAGGAAAGATGCCAGATTCAATGCATTTTGGAAGACCACAAGTTCTACAGCTCTGGGTTAGAGGATATTCACATGAGAACCAAAACTAAATATGTTTTTGTTTAATTTATTGTAAAACCCCACAAGTATAGGTAGGTAATATGTTGTATTAATGAGAAAGTAAGTTGAATTAACCAAAGTTCAAATTTTGTGCAACCATAACCATAGTTAGGCAACCTGGCACGCTCCACATGTTTTAGATTTATTCCCAGAAAAGATAGTCAGGAGCAAGGAGTTGAGGGAATTGTAATTAAAAAAAAAACAGTTGTAGTAGAGGGCTTTGACTGGAGAGATCAAATTTCCACTCAAAAGGGTTTGGTCAGTATTTTATTATTTGTTTTAACAATTCAATATTGCAATTGCTTGGGAACATTAGTGGGTATCCGCAGGAGGAGGAAAGGGGATCAAGAATCATCATGAATAATCATGATATAATTGCACAATCACTTCATGACATCATCATGGTTTCTTTTGAATCACTTAAGCAATGCTAATATAAAGTTATAGTGTGATTATACATGGTACAAAGGTTTTATCCTTATAAAGCAGGGTCCATGCTGACTCAGGAATTCTGGGAATTGTAGTCCGCAATTCATAAAGGGCTCATAGTTCCCCACTTCACATAGACAATATATTTAATAAAATTACTTATTTGCTTGTAGTTCTCCTTGATATAGGAATTAACTAACATGTGGGAAAATAAAGACAAATGTCAAATACAATATAATTTTTTCTTGTTATGCTTAGACAGCTTTTTCCCCTTGACTTTCATTTGCCTTTCCTTCAGTGAACAAAGATTTGCTAAAACAAGAAAGGGAAGCTTCTTCCATATTAAATATTGCTTTATAAATAGAATTGCTGTCCTGTTCCATAGCCCCAATTTTTTAAAAAAGAAATCTCTTTGGGAGATATGACTAAATTACCCAAATTAAAACTATTTTTGGTTTGTTCTCTCACTATCATTTTTGTCCTCAAGCATTTAATTTGGAGTGGACTAGCAATGATAGCTGTAGGTCAGATTCCTCAATCTGTGGCCCCCAAAAGTACTGACTACAAAACCCATCACTCTGATTGAACCTGGTTTAAAAGCTGGGAGCTTATACTATAGTTTTACTATCTAGTGAATAGTTCCATTAGACTTTTTAGTCACAAAATAATGATGATGATATTACACACTTGAATGGATCAATAGAAGTCTTCAATTTAAATGCAGTAATATACCAGGCAACTGTTTTGCAACAAAAAGAACTGTTTTGAAATTATGTTTATTTTAAATGACCTATTTTTAAAAAGACATTCCTATTTTCTTTCATAGAAAGGAATCTGTTTTTTTTTAAAAAAAATTAGTTGTTTCTTAAAAGCAGGACGCTGGCCTTTTTGCTTGAAAAATATCATTTCTAATTGATACATAAAATATTTAACTGATAATTCTTTTAAGGAAAAATATGAAGTAACAGGATATTAGACCAGCAAAATACTGTGGAAATAATATATTTAGATTTCAGCAAGGCATTCGACAAAGTAGACCACAACCTACTTCGTAGTAAGGTAGAAAAATGTGGAATAGACAGCACCACCACTAGATGGACTCGCAACTGGCTGGCAAACCGTACTCAATGAGTAGTCCTTAATGGGTCCAAGTCTATATGGAGGGAAATAAGCAGTGGGATGCCACAAGGTTCGGTCTTAAGCCCAGTACTCTTCAATATCTTCATTAACGACTTAAATGTGGGAATAGAAGGGGAACTTACCAAATTTGCAGATGATACTAAGCTGGCAGAAATAGCTAACACCCAAGAAGATAGGCTCAAGATCCAGATGGATCTTGACAGACTAGAACACTGGGCCTTATCTAACAAAATGAAATTCAATGTAGAGAAAAGTAAAGTCCTACATTTAGGCAAGAAAAACCAAAAGTACACATATAAACTGGGTGAAACCAGGCTCAATAGCAGTAACTGTGAGAGGGATCTTGGAGTCTTAGTGGACAACCAGCTAAATATGAGCCAACAGTGTGCAGCAGCAGCCAAAAAAGTTAATGCAATCCTAAGTTGTATTAACAGAGGGATACAATCAAGATCAAGGGAAGTACTAATACCACTCTATAAAGCCTTAGTAAGACCACACCTGCATCCAGTTTTGGTCACCACATTATAAAAAAGAGACTCAAGAAAAAGTACAGAGAAGAGCAACCAGGATGATTAGGGGACTGGAAGCTAAAACATACAACGAACAGTTGCAGGAACTGGGCTTGGCTAGTCTAGTAAAGAGAAGGATCAGGGGAGATATGATAGCGGTCTTCCAATATTTGAGGGGCTGCCACAGAGAGGAAGGGTTCAAGCTATTTTCTAAAGTGCCTATAGGCCAGACAAGGAATAATGGGTGGAAACTGAACAAGGAGAGATTTAACCTGGAAATAAGGAGAAACTTTCTGACAGTGAGGACAATCAACCAATGGAACAGCTTGCCCTTGGAAGTTGTGGGAGTGCCGTCACTTGAGACTTTCAAGAAGAGATTGGACTGCCATCTGTCAGAAATGGTGTAGGGTCTCCTGCTTGGGGAGGGGGTTGGACTAGATGACCTACAAGGTCCCTTCCAATTCTGATTATCTGTTAAATCTGTTAAACCACATTTTATCTTTTTATTGCAGACATACTGTTCAGGGATTGTGCAGCTGTAATCCAGTGTGTTCAGGTAGCCTTGGCTGAGGGAAAGTTGCTTTAAAATAACCCTATCTCTTTACCTCTGTGCAGGAAGACAATCACAGCTACTATTTATCCCGAATTTATGGTCCCGAAGAGATGCGAGCCAAGGAACTTTGGGTCGAGGTGGCTGAAGCCAACAGGAGCCAAGTAAAAATCCATGGAATCCTCTCCAATACACACAGACAGGCTTCGGTGAGCCATCTTTTTCCCTAACTCTGCCAATCCACCAGCATTATGTTGACTTACTTTCTTAACTTTTGGTACCCGAACTCTGTAAGTACATTTTGTTTTTCAAGCCCCATTTCTCTCTCTGCTGTACAGAATAGGCCTAGAAGACAAGCAAGAAAATGGATAGTAATAGCAATAAAAAAGTAAAGAAAAATCAGAGAAGAGCTGACCAAAGAATAAATTTTATGTGTAATTACAACATCTTGACAATAGTTTCAACTTCCAGTAAGTAAAAAAAGTCAGTATTAGGAGGCTGATATCCACTCATCTTCATTGCAACCGGAGAGGTAGTAGTGTGTTTATGGGAGCAAAACAAACATAAGGATTTGATTTACACATTCATTAAGGTATAAAGTGGTTTGACTTTGGTTTAGCCAAGCATTGTGATTTGTAAGCCATAATTTATGACATTATGTGAATCCAGTCAATTATATTGTTGACTGATTGTTGACTTTTGTTCAAGAATTAAATAAACCATGTATGTACTTGAATCCAGTCAATCTTATGGTATGGAATTTGTTCTGTTAACAGCTGAATTAAGTCCATTTATATTCATTGTAATCAGTTTTTTCTCTTCCATGATTATATTTTGTAATTAGGTTTGACAGCTCTTGTAGATCTTGGTTCACGTTGTTCTTTGGTTTCCACCTGTCCGCCTACTGCGCCTTCTTCTTTTTCAGTCCCCATTTGGTCCTCTTGGAATTCAATTAGTGAGACCTCTTTTTCTGCCTCTTCCTCTCTCCTTCCAAAAAATTCTGCGTAAAAAAGTTCTGCTTTCTCAGTAGAATCAATTCTGTTTCTCTGTTCCTGCCATGTAAACATTAGTCCTTCTGGAATCAACCATCTATAATTCACCTCCTTTTTCAGTAGCATTTTAGTCAAAAATTGATATTCTCTTCTCATCTCTCTCACTCTTCTAGGTATTTGTTTTAAAACCACAATCTCCTTGTCTTTGTATTTCAACGTCTTCTCTCTTGCCACTTGTAATATTTGTGTTTTAATGGATTTTTTGGTAAATCTGATGTGAACTTCTCTTGGTAAATTGTTTCTCATCGCATATCTTGTAAAGACTCGGTATACCTCATCTACTCCGTCCATCATCTTTTCCTCTGTTATTTCCAAAGCTTCAGCCAGAATTTCTATCATTATCGCAGCTAAATTTTGTCCTTTTTCTTCCTCTATATTTTGAAATCTGAGATAGAATTCTGACCTATCCATCTCCCACTTCAGCATCCCACTTTTATCTTGTTCAACCACTGTTAATCTGCTGTCAATATTTCCAATCTTCTCCTCTCTTTGTTTATCTTCTTCTTCATTTTTTTGGAATCTCTCATCATACTTCGCCATCATTTGTTGGATATTTTCAATTTTTTCATCGTCTTCCCTGTTCTTTGTTCAATGTTTTTTATTCTTTGTTCAATGGTGTCTGATTTTGTCTTGAGATCTTGGATTCCTTGCATGATCATCTGTAGAGTCACTTTTTGTTGTTCTTTATCTTGCTTTAACATTGTCTGAATTAAACGTTGTCCTCCAGATGGTGGGAAGGCAGAAGCAGAGGTAGAGACGCCAGAAGGTATGAGTTTCCTACTCATTTTGAACAATTCAAGACCTTCAAATTCTTTTAGACTTTAGTCCAATTAGTAAGATAGCCAGTTATAATCCAGAATGAAAAATAAAAATAGTAGAGAGTAAAAAGTCCAATGGTAGTAAAGGAAAAAGGAAAAGAAAGAAAATTCTTCAGGTTCTTCTGGACCCTAATCCAATTATGAAATAGTCAATTATAATCCACAATAAAGGATAAAAATAAGAAGAAGGAAAAAGCCCAATAATAATAAGAAAAGAAAAAAAAAGAAAGGTTTCTTCAGGTTCTTCACACCTTAATCCAATTGAGAAATCTCAATAATAAAAAGAAACCAAAATAGACCAAGAACATGGATGGAAGAAGCAAAAATCCCAATGAAGAAAGGGGGAAAAAAGGAGATATTCTGAGGCTTTCCCTTTAAGATAAAAAGCAAAAATAAAAATATTGCAAAAATAAAAGTTTACAGTAAAGCTGGTAAGGAGGGGTAACACAACTAAAAGAAAATAAAAGAAAACACACTGCACTTTATTTAATTATCCAAGGCTCTTATTATGACTCTCTTCTCCACAAACTTCAAAGCCAAGCTTCAAGTGTTAGACGGTTGATAGAAGTCCAGAAGAACAACTGTAATAATATTTTGCCGCGCTTTTCCCTCTATCTTATCAAGTTGAAATGTCCTTGAGAAGGAGTCTTTCACTGTTCTCTCCACTTCAGGTAAAATATTTTCAAGCCTCTAGCTGGCAGTGTTACAAAGTTTCTTTGTTCTCACTTTCCCCCTCCTCCCAGAAAAATGTAATTGAGGTTTAAAAAGAAGAGAAAGTATATACATATATATAAAAAGAAAAGTAACTAAAGGGAGCCTCTAATCTAAAAAATTGAAAAATCAAGAAGGAGAAGAGAAAATATATATAAAAGAAAATTCAGTCCAGTTAACTGCTAAGTCGCGATAAAGTCCAGTAAAAAAAAAGTAAAGAAAAAAAAAGTCAAGCCTCACTTTGACGTCTCCCTTTAAAAATCGCCGCTTATTCAATTTTGTCAAAAATCTTACAGATTTCTTCTTATACTTAGAGTGTCCTTTCAAGTCTCAAAATATTAGTAAAAAAAGGATTCTCACCCAGCCAACCCACTTTCTCTTTCAGTCTCTTCCTTTCTGGAGCTCTCCCAACTTCAGCAGCTTTGGGGCTGCCTCTCCGCCGCCGGCAAAAAGGACTTCTCCTGAATCAACCAGGGACTTTGTGGTGTCCCTGGGATCCACAGGATGTGCCCTTCGCAATCACCATCTCTACGGGATGGTTTAGGTCCGTTTGGACCAGCCAGGGGTGAAGATATCGGCTGCAATCTTGGAGCTTGATTACAGACCGTACCGTTGCGATGCCAGCTCCTCCCCTCCTCCCCTTATGGTACGGAATTTGTTAGATACTCACAAATTTATTATGATCTACTCTTCTTGGATGGAATCCATTAAAAAATTCAGACTATAATAAATCTATTGAACTTCTCAATGTCAGAAGACTGTTCTTTTAAATGTTAGATTTATTATGAGAAAAAGTAGTTATTGTTTTGCTAGTAACTATTATTCTTCAGCATGATTTCCAGGGATCTGGAGATGTGGCCAGTAAATTAATACCAAAGCATCATCTTATCTTAACTTTTGCAACAACATAGAGCAGTTGTTTCTTATAAAATTATGTAATTATGTAAAAATGAGATGCTTCAGAGCTCAAAAACCTTAAGCACAGACTTTCTAAATATCAGGAAGGCTGCAAATAAAACAATAT